TGCAATGAGTAATTTCCAAATAGTAAAAGTGAATCAAACAATTAGTCAATCATATGTGCTTGTTTCCATGATGGAATGGGTTTAATTTGTGTTTTAATCGAAAGCGGAGAAGTGAATCTTAAAGTGTATTGAGGTCCACCGGCCTTATCATTTGTACCTAGATTATAACATAGGAAAAAAGAATCGCGACAAGTTAATCAGGTACACAAAAATGAAATCCGACAAATTTAACTTCGAAATTATTGAAGATGATCCTAATTTCACCTGAATAACGCAACGGAGTCCGAATATTAAGGTTATCGTAACATAATAATAATAATAATAATAATAATAATAATAAATATATTATTATATATTAGTACGATTTGGTACTATTTAACCTTGTGCTAATTTTATTTCGATTATCTATTTACTCTGAAGAAGTGGCTTACACGAGACGTCAGATAGACCACAATACTTCAACTTTTCTATTTTTATATGATAAGCCAATAGATGGTTTGAGAATCTTTTTTTATCACATTCAATAATTAGTTAAGTTTAGTTCATACATAGTAAAATAAGAAAGTAACCATAACTTTGAAATTTTACAGACTTAATGTAATTCCAATTAGTTTGTATTATGTTATGAATTTTTGTAAACTTACATATCAGCATTATATTTTATTCATATTCTTATAATAATAATGATAATAATAAGGTAATGAACGTCAACTAGTTTTCCTACTACTTATAAATAAACATACGAAAGTCATGTCAAAAACGGATAATTATTAAAATTCAATGAATCTGTACTGTCAAATCATTCATAATTACTGATTACTAAAGGTCAGAGCATAGAACAAATGGATTATTGAAAATTCTATTCCGTTAAATTGACAATGAATAATAAGTGACATGATACATTGTGAAAAGCTCATAAATTGTTTAATGTTATATGAATCAATAAACAAGTAAACATGTATACTAAAGCTTTTTACCTGATTAAATTAGTGAAATTATACGTTATCATTGTCAAAATCATATACGAAATAAAATCAGCGATTAGAATTTACATAATTCATCGATCTTGGAACTGAGTTGAGGTGAACTGAGAGATCGTTCCCATTATACCACCAACGACTGCTCAAACGAAGAAACTTTTGATGGAGATGTTCGCCCGCAACGGATTAGAAGATGTAATCGTATCCGACAATGGTTCGCAGTTCACCTCAACTCAGTTTCAAAATTTTTGCCAACGGCTGTCTATCAAGTATCTCTGCTCTCCACCTTACTACCCACAGTCAAACGACCAAGCAGAAAGATTTGTGGATACATTCAAGAGGGCTTTAATCAAGTCGAAAGGGGAAGGGACGCCAGTGGAAACATTGCAGAACTTCTTACTCGTTTACCGAACGACACCTAGTGATATGCTACCGGAGCATAAGTCCTCGAAAGAGATCCTCATGGGAAGAAAGTTAAGGACGATCCACAATCTGACGCTTCCGAGAACCACACAATTGCCATCACAGACCAAGTCCTAGAAGCTGTTAACGTACGAGGTTGGATGTCCGTTGTTGGCTCGGGACTACAGACAAAATCATGGTCCCTGAACCGAGGCACGTGTGGTCGCAAAACTAGGCCATGTTATGTACGATGTAGGGGTGGGAAGAGACAGGTGGACTCAACACCGAAACCAGCTACATAAGCGGCTAGCCCCAGTTCGCCCATCGACAGAAAGAAATCTCTCGCTGAACGTACTGTTGGATACCTTTATCCTACCCGTAGTCCCAACACAGGAAGGAGTACACCGACAAGTCAAGCTAAGATCCAGAAGGTGGTCACTCCGACAACGGCGACAGACGGTCATGATGCAAATGGATCCCAGGAAATTACGTTATTAGAAGGGAAGGTGTTGGGGATGTTAGATCCCCAGAACTCACTTTGTAAATGCCTTATTTTTGTAATTCTATTGTAAAAATTCGAATTTCTTGTTTTCGCACCAAAAACCCCCTTTTCACCTTCGTGTTGTATTTCCCACTTGGAGGGACCTTAAATACCATTGGTTCGTTGTCTCTTTTAGTATGCTATTTTGTACCGTTTCCCAAGGACATTTTTATGCTGTATATATACGCTTGCGTTTTTCAAGGAGTTAGTTTTTACTCAACATCCATTGGCCGGATACCATCAGTAACAGCCTTTTGTGAGAGAGAACAAACCAGCTTCCAGCTGAAGAGGAAATTAGGAAAAGACGATGGAAATTGATAGGACATACACTACACAAATCGTCAAACTGCATCACGAGACAAGCCCTAACTTGGAATCCTGAAGGAAGGCAGAAAAGAGGAAGGCCAAAGAACACATTACGTCGGGAAATAAAAGCAGATATAGAAAGGATGAATAACAACTGGAAGGAGCTCGAAAGGATTGCCCAGGACAGGGTTGGATGGAGAATGCTGGTGAGCGGCCTATGTTCCTTCACAAGGAGTAACAGGCGTAAGTAAGTAGGCAATTTACGCTTGCGTTGTGCTTATTGTTGTTGTTCGTGTTTCTGGCTGCTTGTGAAATATATTTCCCCCTTTCGAACTTGGACTTTGCTCTCTAGTTAGCAGGGCTGGGACCATCAGAATAGTTAGCCGATCCAGTCATTATGTCACAGAGTCTTAGTTCCGTTCTTAGATTAGGTGAACTCGTAATCTCTTCAGACATGGCAAAATAGTTTGCAACGAATTAGATAATTTTTTTCAACAGTTCAACATAATGAACAATTTTGTTTTGTTAATATTTAAACTAATTACTAGTGTTTAATTATTGAATTAAATAATAATAATTCTTTTAAATTCTATTGACAAAGGCAGGAAAATAAAAATGCTATGGTTTCATTGTTAGTTTTTTTTAAATGGTACAACACTTTAAATTTACCTGATAATCTAGCTCCGCCAAATGGTTGTTGACCAACTACAGATCCAGTGGATTGAACATTTACATAAAAATTACCAGTTGTATCGATAAGGCGATCAGTCGCATACTTAATAAATTCTTCATCCTGAGCAAAAATGGAACCTTTTTTTTTAAAAAAAGACAATAATATCTTAATTTTTTCCAAACCAATAACTGGATAGTTGAAGAAAGAAAAAAAGAAAGAAGACGAAAACTATTACAACTTATTTGAACAATATGAAATGTGAATTTCAATGAGGTGATTTTTACAAACACCTGACCACCTGAAGAGCCTGCTTATACTACTTTTCGTCACAGTTGCATGGACTGCATACACATCAAATTATATGGAATTTGATAATAAAAGTATGTGTTTCTGTACTTCATCTATTTTATGGAAGCTACAGAAATTGCAAAAAAACGATTTTTAAAATCACGTCAACAGCGCAAAATATGATCTAAAACTTAATTATTTTAAGTGGGAATTTTCAAATTAATACGTTAAAATTTTCTCAAGGATGATTAATTCATGAGGGTTTAGATTGTCTCCCTATCAACATGTGACTGAACTTCGATCAATTAGTAGCTATTTGAACCGCTTAGCTTACTGAACAATCCTATAATATTTGACTTGGTGGGTACTGGATTCGAGTTTTAGTGTAGACATCAACAATGAAATGCAGGTAAATTGGGTTGATGAGTCCAAAATGAGACGAAACGAGCATCCTGGATCCCATACAGCTCAGCACAACACAAATCTACTGAAATTTGTTAAAGATAATTTCAACCACTAAAGAGATTGTAGTATCACCAGCTTGTTTTCTTGATAACTGATTATGAGCGCTTCATCAACAGGAGATTGGTGGCTTAAAACCGGAAAATGAAGTGCATACGACAATCCCTAGTTGACTTGAAAAACAATTAATGAGTAAAGGAGAGTCTTATGATATATATATATATATATATTCATGTAGTTACCAGTTAATGCATAATCCGTAGTTGAATCAACAAGATCTAAGGTTTTCTCAATTTCATTTTCACGATATAAATATGTGCATAAAACCGGTCCAAAAATGTCATCCTAAATTTAATTAGGAAAAAAAGCACAAATGTTAATATAAATGAAATCAATATATGAAATATCCATATCCATATAATCAGATTTCATCTGAGTTGTTTGATGAAATAAACGTTACGAATGAAATAATAACTCACTGTATAAGAAATATGTAACATATGCTGATTAGAATTATTCTATTTAATATATACTTTTAACATAAGGATGAAAATGTTTTAACGAAGATAATTGATTAATTCAATGTAATGTAAGAATGTAAAAATATCAACACGAAACCAACTTGGATGTAAGTAGTTCAAACAAACTTTACAATGTAATATATCCTAAGTGGCTTGGTTCATCTAACAAGAGAAAATTAGAATAAGGTATAGTTCACTAATCAGTGATAACCGCTAACTAAATAGTTGTTTGCAGAATTCAGTCAGTCAGTCAGTAACAACGTAGAACTTCGTACGTACCTACATCAGTTCGAGCTGCTATACCAGAATTATTCAAAATTTATTATGTACCCCTCCCATTTTTAAATAAGTGACCATACCAAACTTATTCATATATTTGATTACATGATTTCCATATAAATACAATTGTACAGCATTTGAAAATGAAAAGATATTCCTCGATGAAATATTTGTTTAATTCCTAAATAAGAATTATGATGAATTCAAGTATTATTGAAATGAATTATTTTTGAAAATAAAATAAATGTAAACTATAATGTAGCTATCAGGACTCAGTAGCTGAGTGGATAACGCGATGGCGTTTGAAGCGAATGGTACTGGGTTCGAGTCCCAGAGTGAACATCAACTCTGAAATGCAGATACATCCAACTGACCAGTCCCCAAATAGGCTGAAACGCGTGTCAAACTGGATTCCACTGCTAGCCACTATCCATCATTGGTTACAAAAAGCTTGTGTATTAAGGTAATATCGAGGCATACACACAGTATTCACATATGCCAATAACAGACTGATCAATTGCAGTCTTAAATCTCAATGGGAAGATACAAGCCAAACAATACCAAGTGAATTTTAATGTAGTATTATTCTACAATAGTATTTTTACTAATAGATAATCTTGAATTTATAAGTTGTTAACTAAAAAATGATTAAATTTTATTAACTAGATGCTCATTAAACATCCATTTAACAATAAATTTACTATAGCTATATTGAAAATCAACTTTAATTATATTCATATGGAAGTTATAAGCAAATGAAGTATCAATTAAATCCTCTGTCTTTGTTATCACACATAGAATTGAATGTCTATGATTAATGACATCAAGTTAAGCATTTGAAGATAATCATGTAAAAGGTTCAAGTCACATGCAACCTGTTCAACAGTAAACTATAAGAAAAGATAAAAATTTTGATCATTCAATCAAAGTTTAGATTTTACATCAACTCCCATCTATCCATGTACACACGGTTAATACAAGAATATTTTACACATAGTATTCTATCTTTGACCAAAATGACTGTTGGGGTCCACAGAGAATTTCTTAATAAGGTTTTCAGAGGCCAAGAGAAAACTAAGAACATTTCGTTAAATTAGCATGCATTGGGAGCACCCTAGGAACTACTAGTAAATTAATGAATTGTGTGCTAAAATCTGATTGCATTACGTTACTATTAAGTTAACGATATCTTCAGAAGTTTTCAAAGGTGTATAGGTTACCAGTAAACGATAAATACTGCTGTTCCCTGCATATAAACGAGCCTAGAAGTAAAGCTTTTCTCCTTACTTTAGATCTTTTCCCTACAATCCGGAGATCTATGAAGCAGTTATGGAGTTTTTATTAAGCGTTCGAGTAGCAGACTTATCGACAACTCTATGATGAGAAGTGGAAACTTTTTGGATATACCAATTCATTTTTAAAATTGTATTAACAAAGAGAAAGTTGTTTATTCTTTGAAAAAGTGACTTAAACTAAGCTTTGAAATATCAGAAGTTCGACTTCCCTACTAACTAGGATGGAATAAACTTGTCAATGTTTTCTTTTAGTGAGATATCAGTATGACGATCAATTTTAAGTTTGGTATCTTTAATTCACAGTACACATATTCATTGATACAGTATGTTTAATTTCGCTTCATGACCGTAAAACACGAGCATGACAAAAATATGGGTGGTTTCATAAGATCATCGTCAATTCCAAGATATTATAAGTACCCAATAAAAACATCAAATGCAAAGAAAAAATGACAAGCATGTAAAAATTACAGAGTTAGGGCTTTCAATTGAATATCAAATGTGCATTAAGTGAGATGAACAGAATAGGTTTGACACACATCAGTCATCATGCTAATATGAAAGATGAAGAATCCAAAGACACTAATAGCATTGAAGATGTCAAGTTCACACATGGTATTAAATCATGAATTGTCTAATTACCATTCTGAAATGTAAAATGACAGAAAGCTATCGGGATACAAATAACATTGTAAACATAATTTAAGGGCTTTTAAACAAAAGAAAATGACGTTATTTTTGTTGCTAAACAATATCGATTCACAAGTATAAACAATGATATATACCTTCATTAACTTATCTGTTGGATTATTAGTAATCAAAATTGTAGGCTGAATAAAGTAACCAACGCTGTCATCTCTATGACCACCGGCGACAACTTCAATATCTGGACAACTGGATGCATATTGTAGATAGCCAGAGATTTTATTGAATGCCTAAAATCGAATTTATATTCATTTTGTGTAGTGGTAAATTGATGATAAAAACAATTTCCAAATAATATCAAAAAGATTTGAAAATCTCATTGTATTTAATAATTCAGTATTAACCGACCTACAATCTTTTATTTGCAGTAGGTTACAATTATTTTGATAGGAATGATGAAATACATTATTATTCCAAAATATAATTGTTAGGTCATTGATCTGTCTACCCAATAATACACAGGAGGGAACTCGTCTCGATGTAGGCTAATACCTTGACACTATAGACTAGCTGAATTAACCTTGAGGCTAGAGATGCGTAATTTCGAGTTGAAACTAACGACCTTGGGTAAGTAGAGGAAAACTAAAGTATTTCACCTAGTCCGCCAAAACTGTACACTTCTTTCAGATAGAATCTATATTCAGATATTTTGGCTAAAACAGCATCGAGTCGATTAAATAACTTGGACATACTGGAACCTGTAACAATTACATCATCCAAATAGACAGCAACCCCTGGCAAATTCGCCAGTATAGTGTTCATTATCTATTGAAAGATAGCTAATGCCAGAATTACACCAAAAGGTAAACGTTTACATTGGTAAAGGCTTCTTTGGGTATGTTGGCGGGATAAAGACTGGATTAAAGCATGTTCCGTGCAGGACTGTGTTGGGACACTCTGATTGGCCACTTCTTAGCCGGATAGCGCTGCTGGATACTTGGAGGAGACTCTAGAATATTCTTACGTAAAAACTATAAATATACTAGCGTTTTTCTTACTGTGACTCCTACTTCCATTCAACCTTCTTTATTTGGAATATAATTAAGTTCCTGTTCAACCGTGTTCTGATTTGGAGACTTGACTTGGAATTATTATGAGAACATTTTGCATCCGAGGTATTTGTTTGGAAATTTTATGAGATCAAGTTACATTACAGGCCATAGATTCAGAAATATTATGAGAAATTCGGATAGATTCAGAGGAAGGCTTATGAGAACATACCTCATGCCGGCTTGTCAGATAACAGACGCTATCGAATTTATGTTCCTTGAATTGCACCTCGCACACGACTTCTGTTAGCCTCACCATAACTCCTCAGGCATTTCGGGCAACATGTTCGGTTGGTTGAATGCGTGTACATCCCAGCTTACGTCACGTGTAATATCGTCAGTGTAATATCGTAAGCTGTATCGAACTGGATACGATAGATTTTCCACTCACTAATAAGTCTACATACTTCCGTTTAATCTAAAAGTTGCGAACATGCTCTTGATTCGACCTAGTGAATGTCGCTTCATATTTCCGCTACGACATTTCGGCTGGCATTTCTTTGGTGGACAGTGACTTTCTTTATGACCAGCGCGATGACAAAGGAGGCGTTTGTGACTCTTGAGCGGATATGAATTCACAAAATACCATGCTCCACAAAACTAACATGGTGATTGTGGTTTACCAGCAGCTTGCTGTGATTTGTATAGAAGATTTGAGTGCATTTACTGAACTGAAATTGGAAGGTTTCACCTTCGTGACCATTTGCAGTCATATTGGGTTCCTGTTCAATTAACGTTAAAATCCTGGTGCAGATGTCCACATCTTCTGGATTCTTTAATCCACAAATAAAAATCAGACATTTAAATTGATCTGCTGTAATTCCTTTTAGTTTAAATCATTCGAATTCTCAATTTACTTTTCCAGCATATATGGGATAATCACCGGATGGTGATTTTGATATTTGAAAACACTGATAGCCATTGTTGAATAATGAGGACTATTCACCAAATTTTTTAGATAATATATGGACTATACCATTAAAAGATAAATCCCGAAGATTTTGTGGTAGGATGAAATTCACATATTATTATTATTGTTCCGAGTCTTCTCAGAAGTAAGCTAACTTTAGCTGCGTCATCGAAATTTGAGCATTCGGCGTGGAACATGTCTTCAAAACGATAAAACCAGGAATCGAATATGATATCAGATCCAGGATCGGCGAGACTATAATTTATGGACGAACCAATCAGGTATAAGATAACCAGCCACGAATTTTGGCGCGAAATTCATCCATACATTTGGCTAAATAGAGCTTTGGCGTTATAGCTGATGTCAGTTCGTGATGAAAGCCCTAAATCTAGTTTTTAACCCTAACCATCAACTGTGAATGAGAATTCTAACTGCTTTACAACCCTCATCTAGTCCTAATCAGTAGGTGTTCACTCTCAAGGTCACTTCACCTAGGTACTACAATATATACGGATGATTGGAGAGCGTACAAACTCCTACATAGGATTGGTTACGTGAATCGTGTGGTTATCCACAAGTGGTATTTTGTGTACTCAACAACCGGAATGCACACAAACAATATTGAAGCTGTGTGGTCGAGGCTGAAAGAGTTTCTGAGACTTTATCATGGTACTCTATTTTTTACCCTGATGGCCAGTTTGGACATAATTATATTTTTCTAATTCAAAAATGAAGAATACGTGAACGAACAATTGTTTGTACGTTGTAGTCATGTTAGTCATCTCCCGTGTATAAAATTGGGTAGACAGGTCAAGGATGTAACAGTTGGGTGGTTATTCCCAATATAATTAGGAAAACAACGAACGAAGTAGGATATTCTTAATTTTAAAAAATGACCCAAATAAATTGAGTGAAATAACAACAGAAAAGAGCCAATAAACTGAAAGATTCGGCAAATTGGAATTCGTAGAAAACAAATTAGAAAAAGAAAAGTAGTTATTTTGATGGGTACTTCATAATCAGTGGTTAGACTAAATTATGTATCCAAATCAATCATTATGTGATACACAATATCGCATTTCGCTCTTTGATGAATAAACTAGTCGAGAAACTGAGAGAACCAGATTATTAGTTGAAATCTAACTATTTAAGTACATATTTTAGTACACTCTTAGGTCATGCTCTTCAAACCTTTTTATTAGCTTATTTATTACGTAAAGACTTGCGTATATGGCTGGGAGTACCATACTTCAGGTGTGATGTCTAGTGATATTACCCGGTAGCTCAAACAGAGGAAGGTGGAGCGAGGGTCCTAACCCGTGACTTAATAGCTAGAAACCTAAATTCTTAACCTGTGAGCCACAGTATCGTTACTAATACTACCTGGCTGCTTATATAAAAGCTCGGAACTGTAACCAAGTAGTCGGGATTGAAATCCTGTAGCCATGAATTCGTTATCGAAAATTCCAATACAAATCACATAATAATTGATCTTTGTTTCTACTATAGTTAAGTGATCATAAAAACCCCTTAAAAAGATTATAATAATACTAACTGCTCACAGTATGATCAATAACTGCAGATGAAAATGTATCTGAATCAAGTGGTGATCCTATTTTCAATTGTTCATAATGACCAAGTAAAAGTTGTTTAAATTTTGGCCATAAATTTTCTGGTACATAAAGTCGACTACATGCGCTACATTTTTGACCAGAGTATTCAAATGAACTTCGGATAGTGCCGAGAGCAGCTTCTTCCAAGTTTGCAGATGGATGGATAAAATGATAATTTTTGCCGCCACATTCTGTAACAATTTTATTGAATAAATTAGTATAAATATAAAGAGGTCGAGAAGTGATTTATTATTATTATTGTGTGAGTTAATACTAGCATATTAGATTTAACTGACAAGCGAACAAAACACAAAACGATAAAGAGATTTTATACAATTTAAAATCAATGAAAGGTTGGATAATATCATGATAATACAATTATATATATAAGAATATGCGCAACACAAAAAACACTGAGCACAAAATATTATTTACTGAGAAAATCATATTAATTAAAACATTAAGTGATTGTTTTAGTTAGCTAGAACTTAAATTTAAGGCAATTAGTTCCTTTGATAAATTCCGATAGTGTGATAAGAAGACGAAGATTATCAGAACTATGTTCTGATAAGTTCTGCCACATTTAGCTAGGACCCTATGAAATTGTGTTTCCAGTAGCTTTGTCGTGCGTAAACTTCAGCAGCCTCAAGATGACGTAATAACACTACACCATAACCAGTTGAAACCAAAGCGAATGATGGTGCATTTAGATACCCAGATTGAGAACCCCCCGCCTGCCACTAGCTATTACGAAGTACCATTAGAAAGAGATGTTCACAGCCAGGCACTGAGGACAGTGCCTCCTAAAGAGACGGGGTAGTGTAACAGTATTAAAAATCACTACATGTGTCGTTATTAATGTGAATCTGTTTTTCTTATTGCACGGTAAAGAAAATAAACAGGCTGGAAAAAGAGGAACAAACCCTACATAAATTAGACTTGCGAAATGATGGATGAGACCTTTTTGCGATAAGTTTCTCCCTTTTGTACATGTACCGCGTTATTCGATTTTTGAAATATATATGCGTTGTGCTAGCACGTCGTGTTCTTGCTTCTTAGACATTAACTGATACTGATTCGTGTGCTGTCGTTTCACATCTCTTTTGCTTCCGAATAAACGCGGCCTATGTTCCTCCACGAGGGGTAACAGGAGTAAGTAATTCACAATGTGGAGTGTCATTAAACCGAATTATGATATTTGTTTTGAGAGGAGAAAATATAATTGTTATATCAAAGATGTAACATGAAACAGATATTAGCATTCAAAAACATTGAGTCAGTTGTAAAATTTGAGGCATTTCAATGACACTTTCAGTAGTTCACATCGAACATAGAACAATCTTACAAAAACTGAATGGATCGAAAAAATCACGTTATTTTCAACATTTGAGTTATAGAAATACATTAAAATTATAATTATATTTATTAGATAATTATATGCGAAACAGATATATACTATATTTTTATTATAAACTGCTAGATTGTTGAAAATCATCACCACTGTACTAGACGTCTTTTTCATTCCAGTTTTCAGTTCATAAGCAGCGGGTATCTACAAATTCATATGGTATGGAACTAACCATGACTATTAAATCTCACGGACATGCGATGCTGATCGATCAGAGTGAAAACCTAATGGACCGTATGTTTCCCAAAGTTCTGTCTTAAAGTCTTATTTGAGTTACATACAAGAAGAGAATATGTGAAATTCATCAGGAAATGAAATATTAAGCGCTTTACCAAACCGATTTTATAACTTACCACCTATAGTTCTTGGATAACCACGATACTTATCAACATTGTCGCCAATCATTTTCAATATAGCACGAAAAGTTCTAAAATGTAAACAGTAATTCCTAATAAAAGTGCAACAGTAGGAAAATCGAAGTGGAAAACGTTGGCAGTCAAAACATTCTTAAATAGATCAAATCTTAAGGTGAATTCTGAACTAAATGGCTGATAAGTCTTGTGGATTGAACGCTATATTTATTTTCCTAAGCTATTCCGATGACCCGCACACTAGAACGACACAGCGACTTGAACACCAGAGAGAAGACGCAAGTACGAGAGAAATCACTTTACTCCAAGGTTCATTTTATTACAGAAAATATAGGGTTTTTATAATATATCTAAATGTCCTTGGGTCGCTGGAATATTGGGGAATGCTACTAAACATAGTAGCACTGTAGTAGCCAACCAATCAGAGCTTCCGCATGTGACGTTTCGCTACCTTGATATTTCTGGCCAAGACTCCAAATGAACGCTGATTGGACGAAACACTTCTTAGTGTTTCTTGATGCTTGCTTGTCTTTTGCAAGCGATTTCTGGATCACCCCAACAATGGCACAGAGACTAAACACGTACTCTAAGATTGGCTTAATCATTACACAGCAACAAAGACGCTTACGCTGTGCAAGGTAACAACACATCAATCGTTGGGTAAAACAGTATAAAAAAAAAGAACCGATCGCTTAAAAGAGAACCTTCCTAGATTTAAGAGAAGATACAATTATTGTATAACACGCCTGTCATTTCAGTCAGTAACAGTTGATAATTGACCTTTGACAACAGCGAATGAAATAATATAAAAGACAAAATAACTATTAAGAAGGGAGCAAAGGAGAATGTGGTTAGCAGGTTGAAGGCGGTTTCTGTGAGAAAGCAGAAATTAGAATTACAAAACTTAAAAAAAAACTAAGGAGTTCGAGCTTTCCCAACTTCTCGTCTAAGCTGTAACAAGACAGTTTGAATATTCGAAACCATAACACCATAACTACTCTACAACTCAAAGCTTTTTAGTGATCATTGTTTGACTCCAATATGATTGAGTGATGATAATGCTAGTGTAATATACGACCCATTAAACTTCGTACATCTCCTGAAGACTAACAACGTTAATACAACACAGAAATAAAAAGTTGGATAGAAGTAGCATCTAGGACATTTATATTTCAAACATTCATGTGAGTGGGTAAACTGAATGAGTGAATATGTAAATTGAGTAGATGGAGAAAGGAGTAACTGTAAAAAGTTACTCAGTAAACAATGAGTGATTTTTTCTTTGTATAAAGTGAAAAATGTATAAATTAAAAAATAACCAATTAGGGTGTATAGTTCAGAAACACAGGGTGAGCGCAACTAAAATATGTTCAAAGTCAGAAGTGAATAATCAACAAGAGCACATATGTGAAAATAGACATTCACGCATATAATACAATCAATAAAGTTATAACTGTATATCTAAAAGTAAGTAAAAGGTCGTACAACAATTTGTATTATTCTATTATATTAATTAAAAATACGACCGTAAATTCATTAGGTATTTACGATTAAAGTGGTCAATGATCATTACATATTACATTTACCAGTGAATAATTTCAAAAAACGAACAAATGATTTAGTTTTAAGTAATGTTATTTTTCAATGGATGGACTCAATAACATTTTAGTGTAATTATCATCGTGACGAATCTAGGTTGAACAAAGCCGTCCGAATGGTTTGAAATCGAAAATAAGACAACTAGCCAGAAGAAACGACCATTCTGACGGTAAAAGAACGGACTTATATACAAATTACTAACGAAACTAATGACTAAGTGTTTTAAAACGATTAGACAATATTTTGTAGGTTTCAGACTCTCCAATTGATAAAAACATACCCGTCATTATTAGGTTTCGACATATGAACAACATTAAAACTTTCGTTCTTTGATCCCACTTTATATAGGTCATTTATATCACAAATAAAATAAACAAAAAGATTATCCTCACTTCGTGCTTCCAGTGAAGTTGATACCAGCAAGTTGAGGGTGTTCACAAATTATTTTACCAAATGTTGGGCCATCTGCTGGGACAAAGTTGATTACACCAGGGGGTAAACCTGCTTCGCGGAGTAATCTTTAGAATTACATAATAAAGAAACTGGAAGATATGAGAGTCAGCGTTGTGAAGTGTAGCACATAAATGCGAATAAACACGTACAGTAAATTTAGTACGTCAGAAATATTCTTGTTATTATTATGACATTCACTAAGTATAGGTTTATGTACTCAGCTTTCAACTAAACTGCGCGAAGGTTAGTGATACTACTTAATTCCCAAGAACAAAGGGGAGCGGTGTTCGAACTTGAAACACAATGGATGGAAGCAGAGTGTTTTAATCGTTGACCCACAGCACCATGACTAGATTAGTAAACATCATTATTATTTTATTATTTAAACATATAAACATTGGTACGAGGCATCAAATAGATAAGCGCCACATAAATCATTCGATTTATAAGAGGGCTAGGATACTGCCTGGGTGCCAAAACCCCGAGCTTTTGACCTTGGGGTCTAATCCACAAGGTGCCCCCAAATGCCCTGGTACGGCCGAGAGTGGAGTGGGCCCGCCCCCTCTCGAAATGCTCTCACACGGTCACATGTATACAGCCTCTGTCAAGGAAGTCCTACTCACTGGTTCCTCGTGGTGCTGTTCACGAAAATGAGAAGACGAAAAGCGAGTGTCCGATGCTTTAACAGGATTCCAAACCAATGGTGCACATGGGCTCCAGTATCCTGAGGGAACAAATGGCGTATGAACCAATTGTTGGTCACAGGCTACCATGGGACTACATCTCCTCACGATGCTCCTTTGCCTTGTGGGTCAGACCTTTAGGTCAAAGGCTCGGGGTGTGGCCTCCTAAGAAAATCACATGCTTCGGCCTGGGCATCCGGGCATTATCACAGCCCATACCCAAACAGAATGAAATGACGATACTTACGGAAAATACTATTCTTGCTTCGATTAACAGTCAGACGATTCACATTATTATTATTATTATTATTATTATTACTATTGCCGTTATTATTATTATTATTATTATTATTATTATTATTATTATTATTATTATTATTATTATTATTATTATTTACTAAGTCATTTATTCACTCTCTTTTATTCCCACTTTATGCATCCTTATTTTTCGACTTATATAACAGCTCGCATATGGTGGAAACTCGGATGTATCTAAACGTTCTCGAATCACTGCCTGGTTGAAAATTGAATGCTACCACCAAATACGAATACTGAAGCAGCTTTTCTGGAACCACGTGCACCATTCAAACTGGCTGCATTCAACGTCCGCACACTTATGCAGGTCGGACAACAGACAGGGATGGCTATGTCTTTGGAAAGTCTTAATATCGATGTTTGCTGTCTATCCGAGACCCGTATTCAAGACTCTGGTGAAGTACTACAAATTTGCTCTCCATTTGTTGCTTCAAAAACCTTATTTTACGTGCGCTTATCTGGGGACCCTGTGGCATCTTTGTCTGGTCTTCCTGGCGTTGGTGTCGCACTAAGCGCTAGCGCTGAGGCAGCACTAATCGATTGGATTCCCTTTAACAGTCGGTTATGTGCTGTTAGATTAGAAAGTTCCATCAAAGTGAGAAAAAATCGGAGTGAGAAACGATGTCTTTTCGTCATCTCAGCCTATGCCCCGACAGATTGCAGCCCGGATGCGATCAAGGATGAATTCTGCCACCAGTTAACTGTTCTTCTCCAGGAAGTGCGTTCGAAAGATATTACAGTACTAGCCGGAGACTTGAATGCTCAGGTCGGGCGTCTAGGCACAGAAGAGAGTCGTTTAGGTGGCCGATGGGAACTCGTTGGTCGCAGGTCAGATAACGGGGACCGTCTACTGCAACTTTGCACAGACCACCTGTTTCTGGCTAGCACTAACTTTCGGCACAGTCATCGCCGATGTGCCACCTGGCATCCTTCCTCTGCATCTCAAGCCTGGACTCAGATTGATCACATCGCGATCAGCTATTGCTGGCGTGGTTGTGTACAAGACTGCCGCTCCTTTTGGAGTACCTATCCGGACTCTGATCATGCCTTGGTCTGCGCCAATCTTACCTTACTTTTCAGTGGCCAACGAAGTGACCGCCACCAACGGATTGATGTTAGCAAGTTGGTTGCAACTTCAGTTGCTAGTACGTATCGAACCGAGCTAGCTTCTAGGCTAGCTACCATTCCACCAAGAAGTATAGATGAGCATTGGTTGCAATTGCATGACGCCATGAAAATGGCGGGTACAGTCAGTTGTGGGTTCGCGAAACGTCCCGCTTATAAGCACTGGGTTTCTTCAGGCTCCTCACAACTCATTGAAGCTCGTCGGTCTATTCCGGGTGACCGTGAGTTTGACCATAAACGAAGGATGTTACGTAATGAAATTGGGCAAAGTTCGCGTAAGGACCGAGAAGCCTGGTGGTCGGAGCGTGCTAATGAGCTGGAAACAGCGGCTGCATCTGGTAACTACCGGAAGCTCTTCCAACTCATCCGGGCCACTGGCAACAAGAAGTCTGGTGTGAGCGAAACAATCTGTGAGGATGACGGAATGCCAATCACTAACATCCATCGACGTCTTGGACGATGGACAGAATTCTTCGAAGGGCAGTTCAACTTACCTGCTGCTCCGGCAACATCGGTCGAACTGTCCTGCCTTCCATGACCGGTGACGACTGATCCACCAAATGGGGCGGAAGTCCGCAAGGAACTCCAACTCTTGAAAAGTTCGTGTATCTAAGTAGCTGCATAAGTGCTGGTGGGGGTGTGAGTGATGAGATCAATGCACGTATAGTGAAAGCCGGAGGGACTTATGCCAATCTGGGCCATCTTTGGCGCCTTCATGGTGTTGGTTCGGCTGTAAAATGTCGGATCTACAACGCGTCCGTGAGAGCAGTTTTGCTCTACGCTTGTGAAACCTGGCCTCTCCGAGTTGAGGACGTTAGACGACTCTCTGTGTTCGATCATCGCTGTCTCCGAAGGATTGCTGACATCCAGTGGCAACACCATGTCAGTAATGCAGAGGTTCGGCATCGTGTGTTCGGGCACAGTGATGATAATGCAATTTGTGTCACCATCTTGAAACACCGACTTCGGTAGCTTGGACATGTTCTCCGAATATCGTCCCAGAGAAGTCCACGTCGTGCATTATTTGCCGACTCTGGGACTGGTTGGAGAAAGCGGAGAGGTGGTCAGTATATGACATGGTGTCGTGGCATGAAAGAAAGCTGCAAAGGACTGGCTTCTGTTGGTCCTTCACAACTCCCTGGCTGGGATCCGAGAGATGGTGCAACACAATGGCTAGAAACGTTATCGGATATGGCTCAGAATAGAAGCCAGTGGCGATCCTGCTGTAACCTTTTACTTTCTTCATAAAAGTGGTTGTTTCTCCCTTAACTGAAAGATTTCTTTTGGTTCTACCTTTTCGTCTCCCCCATTATTATTACACTACCTTACACTAATCTGTGTTTGTTATTGTTCTTCTTTCTTTTCTTTTACGCCCCTTACCTTCCTTTTTCTTCTCTTCCCATTCTCATTGTTTTGTGTGGCGCATATATATTTGGTGCCTGCCTTGTACCAATATTTATATGTTTAAATAGATAAATAAATAATAATCCACAAGGCAGTGGAGCAACGTAAGGAGATTCATTCCCATGGTAGCCGGTGACCAACAATGGGTTCATATGCCATTTGTTTCCACAGGATCCTGGAGCCTATGTGCACCATTGGTTTGGAATCAGGGTTTTCAAACTCATCGGGTTGGTACACACGGAGCGCCGTACATTCGCTTTCCGTCCTCTCAGTGCCGTAAACGACACCCCCACCGCGAGAAGGCAGTGAGTAGGACTTCCCTAGCAGTGGTCGTATGCACCTGACCATGTAAGAGCATTTCGAGAGGGAGAGCTGACTCTCCCAACTATCGGCCGTACCAGGGCATTTGGGGGCGATTAGTAAACAAATGGTTTATAGTCCCAACACATACAAGTACCAAAACTGTTAACTAGTAATACCATTTAGTTAAAACTTAATTCACAATAGCTGTGCAATTATGCAATCATGAATTATTATATTTCAGTTTAGTTTATTTGACAAAAGTTTTGCTCCAACTTTTCTTTTAAAGAGTGATGCCAATAAAAGTGATATAAACTAAAAGGATACAGGAAAGTGCAGAGTAAACAAGACCAAAATAACTGGATTGTCAAATTTGAAAGCAGATGAATGATACATTAACACCACAGAGACATATTTGAGCTACTGCAAAAACGGATTCTATTTACTGATTAACACTACAAAACAGACAAACTAAATATTTATCAGAGTAGACTGTTATCTCCCATTTCTCATAATAGTACATAGTATTCGTTATCCATTCATTGAAAGTGGGTTAGTGAGAACCATATTTTACAAAGTACAGTAACTCAGCCAATGAAAATGTCTCGTTAAACACTGAACCAACCAAATCCCGTATAATATAAATAATTCTGTTATTTCAAAACTTTGATATGAGAAATACAACTTATGGATATCCCCACTATGAGCTGAAGGTTTTCGATATCTTTGGCTACCAATATTTTCATGGTTTACTGAAACTAACGGAAGAATTATACTAAAATTTAGTGGTCTGAATTTGAAGAAATCGGTGATTGATCAATCATAATGCGCGTCAGTTATCAGAATTACGAAGAACACCCGGTCGACAGCGCAGTTTGGTGGTCGGAAAACCATTAACGAAGATTATGAAATCCCTACAAACCCATAGACCTTAATTGATGATATATCCATCCACAAATGTTAATACGTATCATAAGGTCAGATTTACCAAGATATACCTCTGGACAGAAAAATAGACAATATGGCACTTGTATTACTACTACAAATTATCTCAAAAAAAGGATATTGTAAAAATATGTTCTAATGAACTTCTAACCTGTAAACAAGATAATTAGAATATATGGATGTATCAGCGGGTTTCCAAATCACAACATTCCCCATTAAAGCTGGGGCACTTGCTAGGTTCCCTGCAATAGCTGTAAAATTAAATGGTGGTATAGCAGCCCAAAACCCCTTTAAGAAAAAGAGACAAAAAATAATCAAAAGGGATGAATGATGACAATTACTTCATTTGCTCGGTAAACTACTTCATTCTTTGCATCATGGGTATTGATTGGTTTATATTGCAGGGCTTCCTGTGGTTAAGAAGGGATTTGAACTTGAAGTAAATACATACTGAGGCAAATTTCACATTAAAACGCAAGAAATCTGCTAATTCTGCAGCTGCGTCAATCTCAGCCTGAAAAATTGTTTTCGCCTTAAAGTGGGCATAGCCTAGAATAGAAAGTATATGGTCTTACTTGACCGAGAATAGTTGATGCCAACAACTCCATGCGATATTTATCGCTAACAAGGTCCGCTGCTTTTAAGAATATCTTAGCGCGTTCATCAAAACTTGTGCGTGACCACGTTTTACGAGCTATTAGACAAGATTCAATTGCAGATTTTATTTGCTCTCCTGAGGCATGATAAAAATTGACCAGTGTTTTCGAATGCTCAAATGGCTTGATTCTTCCCATTAAAAAAACACTTTATTGACATACCAAAATCTGCCTTCGAGGTTGTCCGGATGATAATTCGTTTGAATCAATACATATAGGCACATGATAAGGCCCGTTTATAATCATAGTATCCAACGTACTATCCAACTTCTGACGTTCCGTACTACCCGGTTTATGCAACAGAACTGGTTCGTTTGTGACCTGGAAAAGCCTGCTCAATAGTTTTTGGTACTGCCATTTCGGAACACAACGACAAACGCTACACGATCTACAAGTAATTTGAAAAATCAGGAATGGAAGAAACTTATTTTAACAAGTCTACAACATAAGTAGTCTTTAGATATGCGGTACCTTGTAATCGTGATGATATGATGTATATACATATACGCATGTTACGGGTTATTGGGGTGAAAGTGCCGAATCAAACATAACATGGGTTCTTAAGTACTTCAATAACTACACATATCTCTTTCTTTTGAAGTACCAAAAATATAACTAACCTTCCAACTTCGAGGAAGATGTGAAGCAATTTTATGAAAGTCGCATTAGAAATTTCGAGAAAACGTTCAAAATCCCCAATATTCGCACACAATGTTGGGGTTTTTCCAAAAACATTCCATACAATTCACATTACATTTACACAAACTGGGGAAATCTAATCAACATCATTAAGACATCCCGGAAATCTCCAAAAAGAGGAAATGCACCTCCCCACTACTCGTAACTTAAATTTTAAATTTTCAAAAACTTAACGCCCTTAGAAAACTAGTCACTTACTAGTTGTCATAAGAAATTACTGTTTGTACCAGGCCTCTCTGTATCAGTCAGTCAATCATCTACAACGTAGGACCAGGAAAATAAATGCATGGATACAAGTTGCCACACCTCATTAACACAACAGGATGAACACCAAATTCATAGAAGTTAATTCAATGGTAGTAATATATAAAATAAAGATTGTATATAAGGAGAAAGAACTAGTTGGTAGAAAGAAAAGTATAAAGCAACTTTAATCTCACTGTTTAAGAGAAGACAAAGAGTGTATACACCTACGCCATTGTGATCGATTCTGAGTCATGTCACCAAGAGTCTTCAACCATTGGTTACGATAGTCACGCAGACCCCAACCGAGTAGTCTGCATCTACAAACATGGCTAAGACTAGAAGTTAGTGACTTCAAGCACTGATGCCACGTTTTGGTTTGGCCGCCCCTAACTTTCTTCCAACCATTCCCTACACTAGTCAGCATGCGCGTCGTGGTAATCGGTGTTCATGTATACATAACCCAACTACCTCAGTCGATGAATATTCACAACCTCATCAACTGACTTACCATCATTCCCTAATACTCTGCGTCTAACCTCACTATTACTTACCCAGTGATCCCAGTAGATGGTGGAAATATTTCTAAGACATCTGTCATCAAATACTAGTAACTTACGAGTATCCTCTACTCTTAATGGTCACACATCGACAACTTCACATATCTTGGACGTCTGATCAGCCCTAACGGGTTGATGTCTGAAGAAATCTCTGCGATGATTCAAAAAGCTCGTTTGGCTTTTGCCAACTTGGGTCACTGATAGCGAAGGCGAGATACCCATCTACTAATAAAATAACGAGTATAATGTGCGGCAGTTCGTTCTTTTCTACTTTGCGGCTACGAAACGTGGTCATTAAGAGGCAGACGCGCTAGCAGACGACAAATCCCAAGATCACTTTATGGGTTGCAATTATTGTTAATTACAATTCAGGTGAACAAATTGTCGGGGGTAAAGGAAGACGATCACTGTAAAACTGCTAGGTCTTTATTGGCCCATGTTATCACCCTAACTCCACATTCAGTATACTGTATGGAACAAAGCTGAAGGCGGGAATTAGTAACTACCGATTTCAAAGAACAGTTAGCAGTAATTGTTTATAATAATCACATATGCCCTAGTGCAACATGTGAAAGCAACTAGGTATGACCTGAACTCTGAATAATCTTTACTAGATCCTTTATTGACCTATTACACGGATGAAGTCACGAGCCTCTAGGTAAAAGTGACCATGCAGTTCTAATACTTGACTTCTGTATAGTTGTCAAGATCGAGCACGCGCCAGCCCAATCCAGACCTAACGTCTGGAAAGCAAATATAGATGTTATACGCTCAGCATCGTCAGTAGATTGGATAATGGAGCCAGAGTCCCCAATTGAAACAGCTTTTGATGTATTTCGGAATTTACTTAAAAGTTACTGCACCCCATATACCTTGGACTACACCAAGGGGTCCGAGAAACTCTCCACCATGGTACAGTAGGGAAGAATGTGGAAAGGATTTAGGTTACTGATTAATGATGAGACGAAATCTCAGTATCGAGAAGCTCAAAATATTTGTGCCTCGACCCTCCGTAAGTCTAAAAGGTTGTCCAAAGAAAAAAAATAGTTAAGTAACCTATAGAATACCCTAAACGCTTGTATTCGTATACAGACCAAAAGACTAAAAAAGGAAATATTCTGGAACTATGGGGAGACAATAATGCCTCATCATTAGTGTAGGACGACTATGGTAAAGCTCAGGTATTCTCACATCACTTTAGCAATGAATATACCGTAGAGACACCCTTCCCTTCAGTTCATACAAATCCCCAAACATGAACACACTATAGATAATATGGCCATTAAAGAACCTGATATCTTCGGTCTGCTAGATAAGCTTGATATAGGTAAGTCCGCTCCAAGTTTTCGACGAAATTTTAACATACACAGGCTACGTCTAATGTTTCATAGATCGATCACTATGGCATCAGTAGATATCGTATTAATTCGAAAATGAAATAAAAATCATAATCTTGTCACCTTGAATGTACTCCTAACATGGGTGAATGGATCGACGGGCGCAATTAAATAAGACAACTTAAACTCCCCCCAAAGTGTATAAATTTAAATAGCTTTCAGGTTGTTCAATACCTAACCACCCGGCTAAATATCATATTCAGTTCAGACAAAATCGACTTTTAGATTTATGAATCTCATCATCGTTTAGTGCTCAGCAAGATTTTCTACCACCTCAGGGTGTCTAGTTGGAGCCATCTACAAGCCCAAGTACGACAATTGTATGTTGGAAGGATTAACCCGCTCTACTAGTCTCGGATTCACTAATATCCTAATTCTAGGGGACTTCAGTCCTCCTAAAGTCAGCTTTTTTTAAACTCACATACGTTGGAGGTGAAAACTCTACTGAAGCTCGGTCCTTCAACCTTCTTATTATTCAAAAATGTCAAGTCGGCAGCAGTCAGACGTCGTCACGCTTAAACTGCATATATTTAAGAACGAAGAATTCTTAATCGCCAACCTATCAATCCTGGCTCCCCTAGAAAAGACGGTCACGCTATCACAGCCCTCTGTTTTATCAACAAAACTGATCTAGAACATCACACTGATGATGTCACAGGTATACAGTGTTTGACAACGCTTCTACCAGTAACACCTTCTAATATATTTCGTTCCCGCCCAGAGAAATCAAAAGACAGAGTCGAGGAGATGGGAAGAGTATATTTGGCGATGACCAATATATCGGAATTCTCTGATCTAATCTGGCTAGCGATTGCGGTTGATGTTGAGCACGGCGTTACCACACGTGATCTGGTGCGGATGCATGACCGAGCGCCTTCAGCTAGATGAGTCCCCTAAAACATATGGTCAGCATCCAATGTCGAAAACTTAGTGCTATTTATTTTGGGGATTTATTTACCGCTACAGATCACTCCCCCCCTAGTGGGGCAGTGAAGACCCTAAGACGTGGCCAGCCAGAAGTTTAAACCCAACGAGTTTGTCGTTGGATTGGCAATTAGAGAATGCAGGCTTCAGCACCAGATAATGCTTATTGACAGATTTGTTTCCAATTCGGAAAGCTTATTATTTTATGCAGCCTCCATTCGTTGGGCTAAATCCTGGTAGCCCGACCAACAATGATAGTAGTGCTTCTGACCTTCTGGCAGGACAGTACTCTCGGATATTTCAACCGACCCACTTCAACTCTGCAACTGAACAGGACTTTTGGAAGTGAAACTGAGCTCTGACTTGGTGTTCCGGAAACCGCAGCACCTAAGAAAAGGCACTTCTCTTGGTCCGGACATGGTCCATTCTGCTATACTGAGAGAAACAGCTTCAATCTTAGCAACACCGCATAGCTGAACGTTCTCACACTCGCCGACCCGAGGCACATTACCGGAAAATTGGAAGCTGGATCACATCACACCAATTTTCAAAGGTCGCCGCACAGAAACTTCAAGTTACCAACTGGTGGCTCTTCTCTCTATACCTTCGAAAATCATGGAGCCCCTGATATGCGATGGTATACATGACTATTTACTGTCCTTAAATTTCTTCTCACCCCAACAGCATGGTTTCAGAAATGGTCATTCTTGTATAACCGACCAGTTGACGTCAGTGGACAGATGGACAAGCATCCTTGGTCGCAAGGGGAAGGTTGAGATCATTTACCTTGATTTCCCAAAAGCTTTTGATAGGGTTAACCATATATGTTTTATCAATAAGCTCAAACGATTGGGTATCAGACCACCTCTAATTGATTGGCTCATTTCATATATGCAAAATCGGCATTTTAAAGTCAGGGTTACCTTCACCTTATCTCAGGAATATCCTAGTGGGGTCCACCAGGGCTCAGTACTAGGACCTCTTCTCTCCTTGATTTATATATACAATCTTCCACAACAGGTATCATCTGACTTATTACTTTTTGTTGATAATGTGAAACTTTGGAGAGAGATACACAACCAAGAGGATATACTGGTACTTCAGGAGGGTCTAACTCGACTTCATGATTGGGTAGATGATAACGAACTTACCTTCAACACTTCAAAGTGTAAAGTAGTCCATCTGAGACATGTTGCAGACTAAAGTTACAGTTTAACAAACTCCTCTCTAGAAGTGCCCCAGGTTGAAAAAGATTTAGGAGTCCTAGTGCCCTACGAGTTGAAGTCTTACGCCAACTGTGACAGAAATACCTTTCGAGCAAACCTTGCACTGGTAGCACTGAAGCGCATTTTTGGCCATTTCGACGGAAGAACTTTCCACATTATCTTCAACAGTTTCATTCGTCCTCATTTAGAGTACGGAAACATAGTATTTCCAACCTCACTCTAAAAGGACAAGGACACTCTGGTAGCTTATAGTATACTTAAAACTTCTGGACATCCCCTTAAACACGTACTTAACCTTGGTCCCAATACAAGCCTAAGGGATAACACCCAGAAATCGGAGACACGACATAGCAGAACGGACTGTAGACACAACTTCTACTCCTGAATATTTGTCAAAAGCTGGAATTCGCTGCCGACTGAACTAGTCCAAGCGACTTCCCAAGGATCCTTTAAGAAGAAATTCGACCTATTCATAAGGACTAAGGAAAACATCTTTTTATGAGTTACCAATTTCTTTTTTTCTGCTCTGTTATAGTTGATATACCTAGGTTCCTGCCTGGAGGTATTGGCGATCCACTGCTAATAGATACAGGAACGCGTTAAGCGAAAGCTTCTTCTATTCCATCCGCAACCATTTGAACCATTTGACATATCCTCCTCCAACTCTAGATGTCGAAACAAGCAAATGACGAACAAGCAATCTCTCACTTTAAACCCATATCACACCCTTGAAGGTTATAACAGCTTTAATCCAGATACTCTCACCCATTTTAACTTAGTAGACCATTTGTTTAATATGTGTGTTTCAACGCTAAGTCGATAAAAAGACGAATTTAGCTCTCTTTGTATCTTTTTATCAACCATCACTTTTTATGATATCTGAAGCATGGACTAATAGAAATATTCCCGACCCAAGTATATCTGTTTATATCTATTTCGCATATCAAAATGACAGATTGAAAGGGCGTGGTAGAGGATGCTTTATTTACGGTCACTCTAGCTTAAACTCACTGTTATGTGACATACCTGATCTAAACAAACTGCAAGATTCGATGTGGATTGTTTTAAAGCCATTGAATCCCATTATCTTACCGTTCGACTGTGTCAATCGTCAACTTAACGCATCAGTAAATGAAGCAGTAGTATTATCAGAGGTTTTTACACTAGCATCATCCCCTCCATTCACAGGCAAGCTTATTTATTGTGATTTAAACATACCTTATATTTCTTGATCTCAAGTCAAGGCGCCGAAACGTTATGCACTATTTATTAAATTTCTGGAGCTTGGACATTGAATCCAGTATGTCAGTAGCCCTACCATACATCAAAATATCTTGGACTTAGACTTAATCAGGAGCCTCATCGCTGTTACTGTGCACAATAGAAAAACGTTTCCAGGCAGCAGTCACAACATTGTCATGTGTAGTCTTAATATAAAAACCACTACCGGTAGACATGAAACTGTAACACTTCATAAAAACTATCTTAAGGTTGATAAAAAAACTTCCGAAATTACCTAAGAAGCACCGATTAGGGAACTTTTTTTACTGTAAACAATGCCGACACACTAACTAATATATTGTAACACGACATCAAAAATATCTTCAACAAAATCTCACTTTAGAACACTGGAGACCTAAGTTTTCTAATGATCTGTATATTGTAGAGGCTAATTTGCTCTATATCTGACTCCAATAAGTAGTATCCTTTTAACTGAATATTTAACGCAGGCTAAATCTCCTAGTGGACTCATGGGTTTACTGGAGATTACTCAAAAACCTGAACACCAATTATAGAGATAGTTTATTATTGAAGATTAGTAAAATCCGCAGGCGTACAGGAATCAAGCATACAAGGAAACCAAGCGAGTATGTGCTTGTGTGAGTGTTAAAAATACATATATATTTATGAGTGTTAGTTGGTTGTGGATAAATTATGGATTGTCTGTGTGTTACAACCAATGAGAGAATAGATTAAAGATTGATGTGCAGACACGCTCTCAGTCAGAATCACACAGAAATTTACATAGTAGATTAGGTGTCTAAATTACAATGAGTAGTCAAATAATACACTAGTTGAATGGGCTTAATACAATATACCGGTCTCTACGCGAATTCGTCTTCAAACACACTGTACTCGATTCCACGACTTTAATGACTTTTCCTCTTTAGTGACGATGACAGAAATATTTGTCCAGGCAGAGGCAATACATACAAAAAAATAGTCGCACTGAAAAAAAAGTGCTGTTGAACTTAATAATGGCTCCTCAACACTCACCAAACCTTTTCGTAATAAACTTAATTATTCTAAATCGAAAGGAGGAAACATATTTATTACGGACAAACAAGTATGCAAAGACACTAAACTTGCTACGGAACTATTCAGTTAACACTTTTGTCCCTCACTAACTAACGAAAACCCACTAAATGAATCAGAACCGATCATAGTACCTCGCTGTAAAATTACTAAGGTGAACTTCAATGTGCAAAATATTTCTAAGGCAATTAGTAAACTGATGCACTCCTACAAGGATGGACCAGATGGTATTCCGGCTAGCATGCTAAAATGTGGAGGTGATAATCTGTGTGTTTCACTTCTCGAACTATTTGCGATATCACTCTCTACAGCGTGTTACCCTACTGCCGGTAAAACTACACATAACATCCCTAAAAGTAAGACAGGACCTGAAGCAAATGTTGAATATTATCGGCCAATAAACACAACCTCAGTGGTACCTAGATAGGTGGAAAATGTAGTTAAGGCGTTGGTAGTTCAACATTTACTTACTAATAATCTCATCTTGACCTCCCAGCGTGGGTTTCCTAAGTTCAGGTCATGAGATACCTGCCTTGAAGACTACCTTTATGATATGACACTGAAACAAAACAATGTACTCCTTGTATCAGACCTATTCTTAGACTTTAAAAAAGCCTTTGATGAGGTCCCAAACAAGAGATTTCTCGTCAAACTAAAGTCA